AGGTTTGTACCCCGGATAGCTGGCTGGCATTCATCTTACACCTACGTTCAGAATCAGAGATGTGATGATTGTCAAGCGATTATTGCTTGTGTTATTTTCTAGTCATGCAAGTGTATTTTCAGGAAGCTATCTTCGATAACGATTCCTCAATGTTGACGTTAAGAGCGAACACGGCTGAAGATTTGTCACTATTGCTTCAGAAGGTTGTTTACATTAACTCAATGGAGACCCCAACTCCAGGAACTCGTGGTTTCGATATTAACACGTCTGTTCGATGCAGTGATGAGAAAACGGTTCGTTGCATTACATTTTCTGATGATACTAGCGCTACGATTGCATTTGCACCTACCAGTTCAACTTCTTTTCGCTCATGAGAATATCCGAACAAGCTCAGTCCATAGCAGACAAAGAATCGCTCTGTTACATGTCTACGGCCTATAAGAAAGCCCGGCGCTACACGTATTCGTTCGTTTAGTGCAATGCTTCCCATAGTGGATGAAATTACCCATTTCGGGTAGTTTGAGGGTAACGGCGACCTGCCAGATCATCAACAGGAGTAATGGTGCACTCGAACGTGAGAACCATTGGTTTAGTGTAATGAATGAATTTCAGTTGCCGTTAACACCAGCCAAGGGTGTAATTGTTGTGCAGAAGCAGTCCGATCCAGTGATCTCAATCAGTGGCGTATCGATTGTGGATAGTGATCAACATCTCGTAAAAACCGGTGCTCCAATGCTGCCGAAAATCAAGATAACGGTCACTCAAAATGTCAACGATGGTGAGTGGAAATGACTTGCTAAAGTTGTTTGAGTGAAACGTTTTCGACAATGCCGTCCAGAGAAAATTTGACATCATTCGCATGCTTGTTCAGACCGCAGTGCAGTCAGCATACAATAGCAACAATTTTTCATTTACTCAATGTCCTGCCATTGGAAAAGATGAAAAACCGAAATCGTTCGATTGCATGAAAACAAATCTCACGATTGATACAAATGTCATTAGAATTGTTATGAGTGATGGTGCATTCTGAGCTGGTTACTGAGATGGAATTTTAGAAGAGGTTGATAAAACCAGTGAATCAACACTTGACTGGTGCAAGGTGCATTTGAAACCGTCGCGTGATATGGATTTGGAATACTTCTCATCACCAGCCTCGTTGATCGCCTCGTTGAACATCTCTTTCGAACACGATAAACAGGTTGGCCAGACCTTATATTTCNAATTCAGTTGTCTTCAGTTGTACGAATGTACGGGTATCGTCTGGTGTTTCAGGGAATCCTGTTGAAAGGCAAAGAGAAAGTGAAAGGTTATCGTGAGATCCTCTCAAAGATACATTACTTCAATACCCGTGCCGACTCTTATGCGAAACGAATCTATACTGTGCAATGTGCCATCGATGGTGGTCGTGTGACCAGTAACGAACTTCTTGTTACCGTAAGCTATCCATTAATCCGTTTCAGTGAATCTTCCAGCTTGAATTTCGAAGTAATTATCATCTCGGCATCAAATTTTTACTTTTCACACTTCCCATAATAATGTTTACTATTCTCAACACATTCAATAGCGCAATTTCAG